TTTGACCTATGAACTATTATTATAAGATTTATCATTGTTGAATTATGCCCTGTCTATTAATTACTACCTCCCTCATCCACAGTCACAATTCACTAATTCTTGTACAAATGTTGTTTCCTATTTTATGGTGCGATGTGGTCTGTCTGGTTGGTATATAAGCTGAGTATGTTTGAAATAAACGATTCCTATTGCAGAAGCTGAGATTGGTGTTGTGGACTTAACTGGCTTGGCTAGGCAGGAAGCAGGACCGATAAGTACTTTAGACTGCTCTTACGGGTTTTACACGTCATTGATCCGACCGATAATTCACTGCTTTCTAATTGACGGTATCGTTACGTTATACATTAACAGGGTACACAGATCACAAGTTATAAAACTTCCAATGCATATGAGAAAGATTCTAGACATTACCATACATTTGAAATTTTTCATAAATAATTCCACAGAAAGATAAGTAACAGATCATTTTATATTAGCCCAATAGTAGATAAAGTGAGTTATATGACGGCATAAATAGCTCGGAATGAATACGTTCCGTTTTTTTTCCTTTCGCAAGTACAAATTAATTTCGTTAAAAAGGAAGGGAAGTCAAACATTCTGCCGTTGTACGTCGAAAATAGACGAATCAATTAAATGTTAAATATCAAAATCAAAAGAAATTAAGGAAATCAAATAGGTCTGCGAGTTGGTTGTATGTAGACCTACTGAAAATGATTTGATCTATCAACTGATAAGACAAAATATTCTACATTTCCAAGCATAGATACAATATATATTCGACCTTCATCAAGTTCTGGAGCGTTACCATATCTACAGACCTCCACCTACAGACGTATTCATTATTTTAAACCATTGTTCGATAAGTTCTCTAAGTGTCTGTCATTGAAGGGCACGTTAATAAAGTAGATCTCCTATACACTCTCTACTTGTATACTAGTGATTGAGCCAGAACTAGTATTGAGCTGTCATTGAAAGTGATGATATAAAGTGATATCCATTTAGGTTGTCAGCTTTCATTTTTATCTAACAATACCATAGATATTCCATTGGAGATAACCCTCTGATTGCATGGTATTCTATGAATTGGTGTCTCACTAGAAGAATCACTTATTGACTTAGAACACAGGCGATATACCCTTGTTTGATGAAGACCCTGAAAAAATGCCGAATCTTCAAGTCACTCTGAGAAACAATGCCCTGGTGCATTGATGTTTAACAAAATATTGACGCTTTCGCCAACTTCTATTGCATACACGAGGTGTCCATCTGCTAGTAGTGAATTTTCACTAACTGAGGTAGTTTAGACACGAATTATATATTCCCAACTGTTGTCTACTTTGGCATTCGATATTTACTATTATGGGAATGGGTTAGAGGAAAACTAGGGACAGCCAAACGAAAACGTAGTATTAATCCATAAAGTCACTTACAGATGGAGACATGTAGGGAGGTTCATGTTACGTAACTAAGGTCGTAACCGATAGTTCAAGACGTTAGGTGACATCGTTCATCGTTTGGTCCGAAAGGCACAGGTAGCTAAACTTTTTGTCTTTCATAAGATCTTGAGTTTCAAAATTATCTCGGTACTATTTTTCTTAATCCATGAATTCATTATATCGTCCATACCTAATCTCAACTATTACTACTACTATTCTGATACTTAAATGTGCTGTGTAAACTTGAAGCCAAATGAAGATATGTGCTAGATTCTACATTACAAACTTTAAATTTGAGAAATTGTTAGATCTTAACTTGGAATTTACCCAATTCTGAGATTCTATTGTCGAACATATAGTAACAGAGAACTTGTAGACAAAACAGTAATCCTGAAAACTTTTACGAGTTAAACGAATTCATACATTCGGGCTCTAGTTAAAGTTGTTTTATAATGAGAAATCAATGATGTTACATATCTTCAAAATGAAAAAATTCCTTCATAAACGACCTACTTACTTTGTGTAATAACTTACCTCTAACAAAAACTGTGAACATGAAGTAGTTTGATTGTAAAACAAAGTTTTCTGTACAGTTAAAATTATATACCCTATCTATATTTACAATGGGAATTATCCCACTAAGGTAGATGAAAGAAGAAGTGAAATTCACATTAGTCAAATTAAACTGGTATACATATCATTTCTTCAAATTATTTACTATTTGATAAGTTTCATATACTAATCCAAACAATTTCTACATTTTCAAGAAACAAAGACTTTGAATTAAATTCGAATCTGGGTTCATTTGTAGTATATGCAATATGTCCTGACAGATATAAGTAGTATGTAACAGTAATCAGAAGTGAAATGTCTGCCACAAGAACAAGAATGGAAATAGAGAACAATTGGAATAACAATAGAATTAAGTCATGAAGTATGTCGAGGATAACTGAAGGAAGATATACAAATAATGTATTTAATGTATGATTTTCACTACAAATTGGTTTTCCCCACTTAAATCCTCATTCACTACATATCCAGTCAATAAGTTCCACCTACGGCGAAGGCGAGATATCCGCTTATCAATTAAGGGACAAGTATACTGCGCGGCAGTTTATTCTGTTCTACTTTACGACTGAGAAACGTGACCATTAGGAGTAGAAGATACTTGTAAGTTACTAGTATTTGACCACAGATACCTTAGAAATATTGCCAACATCTGATGGGATCATCGGGTAAGTAATAATGAGGTTAGACACAGGGTATTAGGGAATGATGGTAAATCAGTTATTGAGGTTGTGAATCATCATCGACTGAGATGGTTAGGCCACATATTACGCATACCCAAACACCAATTACCACGACGCGCAATGTTGAGTAATGTTTAGAGGATGGATGGAAGAAGGTTAGGGGCGGCCAAACCAAAACGTAGAATCAGTCATTGAAGTCACTTCTAGTCTTATCCACGTTGGTAGATGCAAACTACCTGATTGGTGTCCGCCTGACTATCGTAACCAATAGTTGGAGACTCTAGGTCACATGGCTCAGAATCTATCACAATGATGTCGATGTATACACTCTTTGACTTCCCTTAAACCAAGAGATTAAAATCGCTTTATATCTTTCTCTATACCAACTAATTCTTCCTGCCTGTACTATGTCCTTATAGGCAATCTTTCTTTTATATATTACCACCACTGAATGAACTACTTTTATGAATCCGGTGTTCATCTTGTTGTGTTAATGAGGTATGGCAACTTGGATCGATGCATATATGTGCCTGGTCCTACGTTGTAACGGACTGATTGACTGACCAAATAGGATAAAATGCATGTCTTGAATTTTACTACTAATCACATTTGATCTATTTTTCTATAAAGATTCTAAAGTTAAACTCATTCAGTATAAGCAAATAAGAAATAAACTATCTGTATTGATGAATACGGTAAAACAAACAAACAAACAAACAACCACCACCACCACAACAACAACAACAAAAGAGTCAATATAACCGATAACAACAAAAAAACTTTATTCAATAATAGATATACATAGAAATTCTTAAAATTTGATTTGTTAGCAACATCGAAAAACAAACGATGTAGATAGTTTAAGAATAAGAGAGATAGAGATAGTAATTCATGTACACAAAAAAAAGGGGGAAAAACAAAAACACCCAACCTGACACAAATACAATATGAATACATGAAGACATTTTATGAATGAGGATAGTTAATAAACGAACAGATAAGTATCTGAAGATGTTTTATTCATTAACAGTTGAATAGGGATAATTCATTAGTAAAGAATAAGATGATATAATGATAATTCATATTCTTATGTATTAAATATTCACTTCAGGTACTTCATATAATGAATGAAGGAATGAATGAATAACAAAGTTAAACTAACTATTGACAAATATAACTGTGAACATAAGAAATAACGGATAAGTTAACAAAGAATGTTATGGTAATGTATGAAAAGAAGAAGAAGAAGAAGAAAGGTTTGTCTAGTAAATACCTTCATAGAGTTTGAATAACTGTGATGAAAGGAAAACTTTATTCATCAAAAGGAAAACAAATGGACTTGATAAACATGAAAAGAAAAAGAGAAAAAAAAGAAGGGAACTGAATACAAGCGGACTACACAAGAAGACTGGAAAATTTCCACAAACCGAAACGAAACAAAACAAAACAGAAAACAGTATCTTTCAACATAGAAGAAGAAGAAGAAGAAGAAGCAAACAAACAAACATGATAACTTGAAAATAATAAGAATAGAAAGAATAAACAACCTTCAAAGATCATGAAAGATAGTTGCGCAATTTGTGAATTGATTTGAAGTTACACATGAAGATTATTGAATGCTGGGCCTAATAGTCTACAGGTTAAGTGTTAGCGTGTGAGACAAAAGAAATAACAAATAAGTTAACAAGGAATTGTATAGTAATGTATGAAAATAATAATAATAATAATAAGTAGAAGAAGGATAGTTTCTCCAGCAAACACCTTCCTAGAGTTTGAATAACTGTGATGAAAGAAAAGCCTTTTTCACAGGTGAAAACTTTGTTCATTAAAAAGAAAAATAATGAATTGAATATAAGCGGATTACACAAGAAGACTGGAAAATAACCACAAACTGAAACAAAACAAAACAGAGAACGGTATCTTTCACCGAGGAAAAAGAACAAGAAGAAGAAGAAGAAGAAGAAGAGAAGAAGGAAGAGGAAGAAGAAGAAGAAACAAACAAACATGGCCTGAAAACAATAAGAATAGAAAGAATAAACAACCTACCAAACAATTTTCTTAAATCTTTAATGGATAAAAAAAGATTTGTATCAAGAAATAAGTGAAGTTTCCTTTCGACCATAATAAAAAAATGTTTAAGAGTTTGAATATGTATTTGTAGATATGTGTATGTGTCTCTATGTGTGTATGTGTATCTGTGTGCGTCGATACGATTTGAAACCCCCAATCCAACCCGTCACACTCCAACCTCACCCCATCCCCATTTGTAATCCAATGATTAGTGAATAAACAATTACTCTTCAATCATTCAATTTTATAAATAAATATGATGAGAGGATTGATTTAATTGTTTATTATCATTATGATATGATTGATGATTACACCAAATTTTTGATAAATGTTGATAATATGATGAAAAAAAACGTACTGCTTGTTCAATACTAGTTGAACAACATAATTCTCTACATGAATGCATAGCTAATTGTGGAAATCCTAAATCCACTGTAGGTATACCTAATTGTGATGATAATAATGGTCCTATTGTAGAACCACAATGTATATCTTGTTTAGAAACAAATTCCTAATGAAATTGAATAGATAAAAAAAAATATAGGTAATTCATAAAAGTGAAATACAAGTAGACAAGGTTTTATAAATAAGTATATATAGATCCTAATTTCAAATCTCGTGAAGTGGAGATCGTGAATATGCACTATTGAGAAGTTTCATACTAGAACGAAACGACTGTTCAGTGCTTTCAGGTTTTCCATAGTCGTCTAGTTTTAATTGACTTATGAATTCAACTATAAAGTATATATATATAGATTTATTTTTCTTAAAATCATCGAATTACACAAACCTGGAAGTATTGAATGACTATTCCATCCTAGTATGGAACTCTTCAGTACTGCATATTCACAATTTTATATAACAGTTATCTAATCCTAGGATAATAGTTTTTAATAAGATAAAGGTGAAATTTATAACGTTTTAATGATAAGTAAATCGTGTAACGTATAACTATTTATATGTAGTGTATACTTTGTGAACAATTATCTATTTATTAACAACGAAAACAAAACATTTGGGTTTGCGAATTGTTGAGAAAGAGCCTTCAAATAACTTGGTACAATCGAAAGTAGGGTGTCCACTTTCCTTCTCGAAGTGCTCTCGAATAGCCATGCGTATACAATCACTACAAGGAAAGTCCTATTCCTTTCCTTCTTATGACGAAAAGCGAATATACAGCAGCTTTAACCGTGTTGAAGGGTATGGAGTTGGAAAACCTTCATCCCAAACCAATAGTGCATATAGACCCCAGAATCTTGAGGGAACAAATGGTGTATGAACCTACTATCGGTCACTGACTACTATGGGACTGCATGTCCTAACGTTAGCCGTTTGCTTTCTGTATTAGACCTGTATGTCAAAGGCTCCGGGATCGCTCCCCCCCCCGCTAGGAAAACTACCTGCTCCGGTTCCGGCAATATGGAATTAACCCAGCCCATATAAAAATCCACTTATTTGTGTGATGTATATAAATATACTTTTTGATGCCCCTTTGTACTGATGTTTATGTATTTAATTCAATAAAGTCGATTCATACATGAAATGAATTACAAATCAAAATTTCGACTTCTGATAAAATACCTAGTTAAATAGTACCACATTGAAGTAACAGTAATCAAATAACTACATGTAATATAACATTGGTACTTTAATCTGATGGACAAATATTTCAATATTAAGCTATTTTAAGAAAAAACAGATAAATGAACTAGTATAATGTGATCGGAATATTAACAGTTAAAGGATGTTTCAATGTACAAAATAATAAATTCAACAAAATACTTTAGAACTAAAATGAAAATAAGATCTTGGATAATGATCAGTTCAAGTGTAAACCGATTCGATAAAGCTCAAAAAACAATGTCTGTGTGTGTGTTATGTCTATAACCAGACAATATAAAGATCAATTGTAATTTACATTGAATGTTTACTGTCAACTTATCCATTCAGTCTTCATGTGATCTTGGTTTTTATTTAGCTAGTAATTACGAAATGATGTAACATTAGCATAATAGGCAGAGATGGACAGTGGAATTACGGACAACCGTTTCGTTCTATTTCAGACTCGTCAGTTGGATGCACCTGCATCCCAGAGTTGATGCTTATTCCGAGACACAACTCCAGTACCGTTCGCTTTAAACGCCATCGCGTTTATTCACTTAGCCAGTGAGACCAGATGACCATTAGCTTGTACAAAAATGATTTAATGATATAACACATTTATAGGAATGTGTAACTGTTGTTTAATGAATTTTTCACTAATACACAATAGTTATGTTACCAATTGCCCTCAAATGCCCTGATACGGACGAGAGTGAAGAGAGTCAGCTCTCCCTATCCAAATGCTCTCACATGGCCACGCGTATATACTCACTATCAAAGACGTCCTACTCAATGCATTCTCGTAACCAAGGTGTTGTTTACGAAATTCAAAGGACGAAAAGCGAAAGACCAGTGCTTTAACCAGGTTGATTGATGTGGAGGATCCACCTAGAGAAGTTGGAAAATCCTTATTCCAAACCGATGGTGTACATTGGCTCCAGTATCCTAAAGAAACAAATGGTGTGTGAAATTATTGTTGGTCACTGGCTACCATGGAACTGCATCTCGTAACGTTGCTCCATTGCCTTTTGGATTCGACCTTTAAGTCAAAGGCTCTGGGTGTGGCCCCTTATGGAAACCACCTGTTTCAGTTTGAAAACTCGGGCAGTATCCGAGCCATTGCAGAAATCCAATGATTTATGTGGCGTACATCTATTTGTTGCCTCTGTGTGCTGATGTTTATGTGTTTAAATAAATAAATATGTTTCGTATTGCTTCTTAAAACAAATAATAATTTTTTATTCTTATAAACTAGATATGCAAATCTACTCGATCTAAGGAACCTAATAAATTATTGGCAATCACAATGGTGTACCTACTTTGATTTGGTACAGACTACATAGTTCATTAATGTTAGATTCGACTACGTTTATCTGTATATGTCAGCGAATCACAACATTCTAGATCATTAAATTTGCTTTGGTTGTTGTAATCTTTTAACTCATGTTTAGGACTGAAATTATCAGTGCCTCTGGGCATCAGTAGTAGTAGTCACAATGTAGAACCTGGTACATATGTATAACGATTCAAGTCTCCATAACCCATAAGCACAGAGATGAAATTATCACGTTAAATCCCAGAATATTAGAGGTAGTAACAGTATGAGTATTGATAGAAAAGATTAGTTATCGAAATACGATTTTTTTTTAAAAAATTAGTGAAATAACAACAACAAAGTTATGAAGGAGTCAAAAGCTCAGAATCTACACGAGAACAAAGAATGAACGCACCAGAGCCATGGCATTGATTGATTCAATCAAACTGTTAATAACTTCATGAACTGATGCTACGTTTTAGTTTGACCACCTCTAGCTTTCTTAAGGATATGTGCATGTTTTGCAGATGGCCTCGATATTCCTATTAAGTCATAATTATTTCAAAAAGAGATGGATAAAGGCTATCGGTGGAATTCACGACGCACGTTGTGACTCGATGGCAATATCGAGGTTATCCGCACAGGATGCACATATCCCAAGAAGAGACTGATAAATCGGAATGCTAAACATCAATGGGAAGATCCAAACAATCAATACATATATGAAAATTAAAATTCACCCCATTGTAATAGCTAGTGACTATCTGGACTCAATAGCTAAGTGGTTAACGTGGTAGCGTTTGAAGAGAATAGTACTGGATAGTCCCAGAATGAACATCCACTCTGGGATGAAGGTATATCCAGCTGGCGAGTCCCAAACAGAACGAAACGGACATCCTAGATTTCACTAGTAACCAGCATTTATCTTCGTTTAAAATATAGATTATTAATTTACGTAATAACGAAAAACTCAAAAAATACAAACCTGAACTGGGACATTACACAAATGTGCGATTTCACGAACAACCGCTGCAGTAAGGCTATTCGTAGCATAACGCTGTGAAACATTGTATTTTAATACGACACCACTGTGAAATTGAGGTTTATGATAACATTCATGTCGTTCACTCCATGATGGATGAACTGCATGAGCTTGGTCAGCTGATACAAGAAAAGATTTAGCTAATGATTTTTCAAAATGTAAATCTAAATTACATTTTGTACACTGTGATGTAGTTGTGTTGTTAGTTGGCGTAAGTGTTTCAGATAAATTGCACATTTCAAATGCTTTATTAAGTCGACGAATAACAGACAAAGTATAGCCTGAATCTGCACCTTGAGCTGATGTAGATCCAACTTCTTCATGATCAAATAAGCATAATAAACGTATATTACACTCAGAGGATAAAGTTGGAAGAGATTCAATGAAACCATGAAGACCAGCATAAGAATTAAACAAATTATCTAAACGAGGCGCATGAATAAATTCTTTGTACAAGCCACCAACGCAAGCAGGCTGTGCATCAGCAAAACAAAGTTCCAGCTCCACAATTTGTTGTTCACTAACACCTGTTTCTTCACTTAATAAACGTAACAAAGCTGGTGGATGACGATTTCTATTAGATAATGATGAAATAGGACATATGTTAAAACATGTATTTGTTGAATCATTTCCACATTCAGTAGTATTGACAGTTTGAGCAGTTGGATTTTGAAGCTGTACAAGAAAAAACAATATGAAAAACCATCTATTTTAACTCATCAACTAAACTGTAAGTACAAACTACTATCAAGTAGGACCTAATCATAATCATCTTTTTTTAATTTTTCGTAATTTGAACTGTTTAGTGTTGTTGTTAGGCATAAAGTTCTTAGAAAATATAATAGAGCAATGAATATCATTGTAAAATTATACTAACCTATGCGTCATGCCATGTTGGTTCGAATTGTAATGCAGGAGAAAATAAGGTTGAGTATGCTCATTAACTATAAGTTCTAAACTGAGAAGAAACAACTATTTAATAATTTCTAGTTTATAATCAATTTGTAGTGGATGGATGCAGTTCCATGGTAGCCAGTGACCAACAATAATTTCACACACCATTTGTTTCTTTAGGATACTGGAGCCCATGTACATCATCGGTTTAAAATCAGGATTTTCCAACTTCTCTAGGTGGATCCTCCACATCAATCAACCTGATTAAAGCACTGGTCTTTCGCTTTTCGTCCTTTGAATTTCATAAACAACACCCTGGCCACGAGAATGTAGTGATTAGGACCTCCTTGATAGTGACTATATACGCGTGGCCATGTGAGAGCATTTGGATAGGGAGAGCTGACTCTCCCTACTCTCGGTCGTATCAAGGCATTCAGAGGTATACAAGTACTGACCGGGCCCAACGTTGCTTACCTGCAGTGATCGGACGTGAAACGGTGCTTTCAACATAGTATGGTATTGATTTGAATAAAATGGTCAGTAAAATCACAAGTTGACTATTCAAATAATTTGACTCGAAATCCAACTTAAAGAAACATAAGTTATTAGTTTTCTTTTCCTGAATCCTAAATTCTAAAATCTACATAAACAAATGCATATATTTCTTAGTTTATCCCAATTTCTCTATATTTTAAACAAAATGTCTTTATATCTACACTACAAATCAAGTCCACATTCAGTATACAGAATATAACTGAACGATTTGTTTAGTATACAGTTAAATTGTGAACTCTATATATAGTATATTCGATAATTATAATGTTTGATTATTTCCTTTCTGAGGAAGCTTGAATCAAACTGTTGAGTAAAACGTTGGATTTGTTTTCATTTCAATCACTGATATTTTTTACAAATACAACTTCCTTCCTAACTTAAGCGACATTTTAAACAATAAATATGCATTGGTAGACACAAACAAGTTCAATAAAAGAGGATATTAAGAATTGAACTCGTGAGTCGTCCTAGTACGGGACTGATGAGCAGATCGCATCTAAGACCCCACTCGCGAGACGAAACGGCCATCCAGTGCTTTCAGGTTTTTAATGGTGGTCTAGCTTACATCGACTCATGAATTCAACTGTTAAAATCGGTACAATCTCCAAAAACCTCCAATTCTAAAAAAAGATATATTGTGAAGAGTGATAAGTCCTCTAATTGAACGCTAGATTCGGTTCCTTAGCTCTCTTGTAACCCCAAGGCTAAGTTTTCTGGATCTTACCAAACAGGATATCTTGTTCATTATTTTCTAAATGATAAATGGTGCCTACAGACTTGATGACCACTTCTCTCAAGTAACAATGTATACAAGAAAAAGATTCTTTGATTATGATAAATCTATATTTTCGTTACATAATATGAACATTTGGGATCAACTTGAGGAAACTGGAAACATATGTTCAACTATTTTATTTACTATGACCTAAAAAATGGTTAGCTTAATGTTGTAAACTTCTAGCCCGTAATCATCATTTAGGTTTAGTCAGTCAGCTACAACGTAGGACCAGGCACATGTATGCATCGGTCCAAGTTACCACACCTCATTAGAACAAAAAGATGAACACCGGATTTATAGTAGTTAATTCAATGATGGTAATATATAAAAGAAAGATTGGATATGAGGATATAGTACAGGAAGAAAGAGTTGGTTCGTAGAAAGATATGGAGCGACTTTAATCTCATAGTTTAAAGGAAGACAGAGAGTGTATACACCAACACCATTGTGATCAATTCTGAGTCATGTCACCCGGAGTCTTCAACCATTGTTTACGATAGTCAGGCGGACACCAATCAGGTAGTTTGCATCTACCAACATGGTTAAGACTAGAGGTCAGTGACTTCAAGCACATTTACGTTTAGATATATACCCTGCCTCATTATATAACACAATCATAATTGAGCATTCAGGTATCTTAATATAATTGATATTATTATTATTATACAGGGCATTGGTCCTTGAAGTTATTAACTTCTACTCTTAGCCATGTTGGTAGATACAGACTACTTGGTTGGGGTTCGCGTGACTATAGTAACCAGTGCTTGGAGGCTGAGTTACATGGTTCAGAATTGATCACAATGGTGTTAGTGTATACACTTTGTCTTCCCTTACATTGTGAGAATAAAACTACTTTATACCTTTCTTTCTACCAACTAATTCTTTCTTTCCGTACTATATCCTTATATGCAATCTTTTTTATTTCTACCATTGGAGTAACTGATCAGTCCTACGTTGTAGATGACTGAATGACTGACTAAGTAGTTGTAATTATTTAAAGAATAGTACCACACAGATAATTAGGTGAGATTATAATATATGGATGAACTAGTCAGATTTAAGACAGACAGTCTTAGAATTCGACACGAAATTCAATCATCCATATGGTAAAATAGCATTTTGACATGATGAAAACCCTAACTTTAAATGCTAACCCTATTTTTGAACTCTGAATCCTAATCCTATTACCTTATGACCAAGCTATGACCTTCTGTTGACCCTAAAAATTGGTTGACTTTTCTCAAGATTGTCACACACGCTATCCTCACACTAATTTTTTTAACGTCATACAAAAGAAACACCCCTGTTACATAAATGTACTACATAACAATATTTTCTTTATTGTTAAATAAGGTATAAACTAACCTGTTCCATCAAACTAGTACACAGTATTGGAGATAAATGTTGTTCGGAATTTGGATGAAAACCTTGAGTTTTAATTTCTTGATTTAAATGTATTGCTAAACTAGGAACACAAGCAATTGGATTATTAATATGCACTAAGCGTTGTTCTAGACGTCCTTCAGCATTACGAATAATTACACGTCCAGCCAATTTTAAATCTCTATCAAACCATGTATACCAAAGACCACCACCATATGTCTCAACACCTAATTGAATATATCCTTCTTTTAATCGTTCCGAATTCGGTTTTAAACGTAAACATGGACTATCTGTATGTGCTCCAAGCAAAGTAAAACCATTGCCTGATTCGAATCGACCACCAACAGCGGCTGCGATTACAGTTGATTCATTTTTCGTTATATAAACCTTATCCAAAGGACGTAAACTCCAAGATTCTTCTTCGAATAACTCACGAAAACCATGATTATCCAAAAATGTCCTCACTGATTGGATAACTTGAAGATTTGAAAAAAGAAATATATATATATAATTCTAAATTTATTTATTTATTTATATAAACACATAAACATTGGTACAGGGAGGTACCAAACAGATATACGCCACATAAATCATTCGATTTATGTGAGGGCTCGGATACTGCTCGGGTGCGCAAACCGAAGTAGGTGATTTTCTTAGGGGGCCACATCCAAAGCCTTGAGAGCATTTGGAGAGGGAGAGCTGACTCTCCCCACTCACGACCGTACTGTAGTTAAGTTTTAAATACGAAACAATGGTAAAGAGACACAGGTAAATAAAAGAATGTTGATTTAATCTTACTGCTCATGAGAAATCTTGAAGGAATGGGAGTTCCAATTAATATAGCTTGATCAGATCATTACAATAGGTAATTCCAACCACCACATCACGATAGCACTAAGAAGCCCTTAAACTAGGTTTTTTGCTAGTCGCGACTTGTCATCAAGAAGTATCTCGAATATTCTAGAATCTAATGCTCTTTGTGTAATACGAACCCCAAACACTCAGTATCCTAATCACAGACGTTATGATAGAGCTATCTGGGCCATAAATAACCTTCTTTAGAACTGAGATCTTTTGTACTGATTAATTCCTGAACAGTAACCGATTACACACTTGTCAAATCCTTAATAATGACCGAATTCGATCGACGAAATTTCAGCGTGAACATGACTTAAAGTCGTGATACAGATATAGATAGATATATAGATATGGATCGCTGTGAAGCGAATTTATAAAGAAACGAATAAATGAAAATATCTAGAAGACTGAATGTTTTAATACTCTATTATAGAGGATTAAATGGTGAGTAGATCATTTCAAAAATCATAAAAAAGTATGATTGATGAAATTGAAAACCTCACACGATGTAAATCAAAATATAATGCAATGACCCTGATACATTTAACAATTTATGCCAAGAAGTTAATGACCTACCATGTTGAATAAAAGTATGTTTGGACGTCTATTTTTAACATTTTCCTTATTTACTATTCATAGACTTATCATTAAAATATACTTTTGATTTACATCTTACATGCGGATTTGTAACACTGTTCAATTATTGCATAGAATTTCAATTGACTTGGTGTTGTTTACTTGTACCTTTCCAATGTTATTTAGAACAGCGATTTAGCAGTCTCTTGTTGGCATATGTGCATACTGTGAGGACTACCTTGATATCGCCTGAAGTCACAAGCATTCTAAGCAAAGATGGATAGTGACTAGTAGTGGAATCCAGGATGCGCGTTTCGTCCTATTTGGGACTCGTCAGATGTTTGTGCCTGAATCTCAGAGTTGATGTTCACTTTGGGACACAAACCCAGTACTGTTCGCTTCAAACATTATCGCGTTATCCACTTAGCCACTGAGTCCTGATAACCACCTGCTTGTGTAATGGGAAGAAGTTTTAAATTCACTTGATGTTGTTTACTTGAATCTTCCGATTGATGTTTAGGACTGCAGTTGATCAGTCTCTTATTGGGATATGTGCATCCTGTTATAACTTGTGACCCTTTCTAGAGTTAACATCAACTCTGAGATGCAGGTACATCCAGTTGACGAGTCCTGAATACGACGAAACGCGCGTCCTGGATTCCATTGCTAGCCACTATCCATCTTTACATATAATTTGTTGTGATTACTAGTCAACTATTATGTACCACAACGTCTCCAGATATTTTAAGTATACCGAAATAATCTATGTGTAATTAATGGTAATCTAAATAGGAACGAGACAGAGCCAACAAATTTAGTATGAATACCTAGCAATACTAGTCGAAGAGGCGATACTATAATTTATGAACAAACTAATCATATTTCGGATAACAGGTCTTGAATTTTTGGCGTGAAATACATTCATCCATTTAGCTAAATAGTGTTTTGGTATTATAGATGAGGTCAATTCGTGATAAAATCCATAAATCTAATTCCTAACCCTAACCATCAACTGTAAACCATAATCCTTTTTTCCACAGATTTATAACGTACATTTGAGTTTAATAAATAGGTGGACATTTTTAAGATCACTTTAATGTTGCTCAATGGTCACTCATAAATTATAGTCTCGCCATCAAAGATACTTGATAATTCAATTTACGAATTTATGACAGATTTCAGTATCACTGATACTATTAGCGTCGACAATAGTGACAAGTTATATATATATATATATATATATATATATATATATATATATATACTGAGAAGTCCTATATTAAGATAAAACGGCCGTCCAGTGCTTCCATGTTTTTTCATGATGGTCTAGCTTCAATTCACTCATGAATTCAATTATTATATATATATAATCCTGAAGGGAAGCAGAAAAGAGGAAGGCCAAAGCACAAACTACGTTGGAAAATGGAAGCAAATATGAAAAGGATTGTCCAGGACAGGGTTGGATGGAGAATGCTAGTGAGTGGCCTATGCTCCTTCACAAAGAGTAACAGGCGTAAGTAAGTAAGAGTAAGTAATGATATATATGTATATACACAAAACATGCTTATGAAATCAATATTAAACATTTATTTCTATTACATAAACATACAATGTTTCCTAAACATTAACAATCAAGACAAATCATTTTTGATCGATGAAGTAAGTTGTTTTCCACGAAGAAGAAGAAGAAGAAGAAGAAGAAGAAGAAGAAGAAGAAGAAGAAGAAGAAGAAGAAGAAGAAGAAGAAGAAGTAAAACAACAACAACAACAACAGCAATTATTGAATGTACCATACAAACTGATTGTATAGTTTATATATATTCTTTACACAATAACCATACTGATCAATTGTGAAAGCAAACTAAACACAGTAATCAATACTATGTTGACTAGACAATCATAAACTATAAATGAGAATATAGATAATACATCTACCATTATTACACATTAGACAAATATTAACATAACCATGTATTTTTTTTATTTATTATTTCTAATGTAATATATCAAAGTGTTAAATTTGTTTTGTATATTAACTTTTATTTGGCAAGTAAAACTGTTTATGCATACTTACATAAAATAAACAAAAAACGGTACATTTATCTATCCATCTATCCATCTATCCATCTATGTATCTATGCATCTATGCATCTTTCAAATACATTAATTGTGTCAGATTGGTTTAATAATAAGAAGAAGAAGAAAAAACAAATCAAGATTGAAAGTAGAAATGTTCACTATAATGAAGAATTTCATCTTTTATCAAATTGAATACATTCAAAGAAATTGAATATCCATTGTGTATAGTGAATGGTGATCATTAAGATATATGTATATATATATATATATATATATATATATATATATATATATATATATATATATATATATATATATATATATATATATTAAGGCGAATGGAATTGAATGTTTTATATTCATTATTAATACAGAAGAAGAAAACAACAACAACACTGATAGAGCAGACTAAGGGTTTCTTTCATAATATGCCATTTCAAACAACAACAACAACAACGCTGATAGAGCAGCCTAAGGGTTTCTTTCATAATATGCCATTTCAAATAACAACAACAACAACGCTGATAGAGCAGCCTAAAGGTTTCTTTCATAATATGCCATTTCAAACAACAGCAACAACAACACTGATAGAACAGCCTAAAGGTTTCTATTTTAATACACTATTTCAAACAACAACAACAAATAGAAAAGTATAAATGAAAGTAAATGTATACGTAAACCATGTATCATAATATTCAAATGATAAACATTGGATAAATAATGAGTTGAAAGAGTTAATAAATTGGAAACATGACATTTTTTCTACTATATCCGATGATATAAACTTTTATAAATCTTATCTTGAATAATTGATATATTTGAAGAACAATCAAAAACTTAATAATCTCCACAACTTCACATTGATAATTAGTATGTGAGTACTACTGACCAGTGGAGCTAATCCGTGTCGGTTAGAGAGAGGTATCTACTTCAGTACAATGGAATATGGTCGCGCAATTTCATGAATTGGTTGAGGTTAGACATTAACGCCATTAGATGCCGGCCGGCTTAATGATCTAGAAGTTAAGCATTCGTGTGCGAAACTGGAGGACCTGGGTTTCAATCCCGAGAGGCAGGATGGTGGATGTACACTGCTGAGAAGTCCTATAATAGGACGAAACAGCCGTCCAGTACTTCCAAGTTTTCAATGTTGGTCTAACATCAATCAGTTCATAATCTCAATCACAAACTTAATAATCTTCACAACCCTATACTGATAAAGACTAAAATAAAATTAAACAAATATTGTACAAGTGATGACCATAAAACTGGTAACACATAGTTACTTTTATGAATTTCACCTGGGGTTATTTTTTCAGATTTTTGTAATGATAATTTTAAATTTATTAATTGAGATCATGAGTCAATTGAAGTTAGACCATCATGCGAAAACCTAGAAACACTGAAAGCTTCAATTAAATTATGATCTCAACTATTAAACTACTTAGTAATATCCACAAACCCCCCCCTCTCCTTTCTGATAATAATTTTCAACGCTTGATCTCTAAAATAGTGCAGTGTATCACAACAGTTATATTTAATGATTAGTATATAGAGTTTATATGGTATCGTTTTGTTTTTCTAAGTGATGTAAACATCATAAGTACACTTAGTTTTAAATGATGTACTTAAATTATTTTTCTATCGTTAAAATCTTCCTCTAATCATTGCTAGAATTCTTTAATAACAAAAAACTCCATCTCTTTCAGATCGTGAAACTGAAGAACACTTTTAATGAAACACAAAAACTGATATTTTAATCTTACAACTTACACAAGGTATAAGTATATCATGGTTAGATTAGAAATACTTTATGAAAGAAAAAAATTAACAAATAAAGAATATTTCAATGGTCGAGATGACTGTTTCGTCCTATTGTTGAACTCCTCAGTAGTGCACATACATGATCTCGTCTCACGAGATTCGAACCCATGGACCAATCAGTCTCGCGCACGAGCGCCTAAATTCTAGACCATTGAGTTGGCCGGCATCCAACGGTGTTAATATGTAACTTCAATCAATCCATGAAATTGATTGACACATCCACCATAGTCATCATTGAGTTACTATCTCACAACAGACCTGGTTGAAACTCAAGTAGTCACTGCTTCTCACTAGAACTCCGAGAAATACCTATTGAAGCCAGTCACTAGTGAGCAAATGTTGATTCATATCAGAAGGAGTTTAGTGGATAATGTAGTAATTTGAATGATTGAGATCATGAGTCAATTGAAGCTAGACTCATGATCTCAACCTTTGAAATTACTACAATATCCAGAAAACCCATTCTGATATGAACCAAATAAAGAACAAACTGATAAAAAGTTTACACAAATCGAATTTATAATATTCATTATCATAGAAATCATATTCAATGAAAATAATGGCAACAATTGAAGCAGAAATGTAATTAAATGTAAACTACTGTTGTGTGTGTTACTTATGTCGATATAAGTAGTATATAACACTAGTCCGAAGTGGAATGCTTATCAGCAGAAAGTTGGGAAGATCGAGTCGAAGAGAACGGGAACAGAGAATAATTGTTATGGCAATGAAGAAGCGGTGACGTTTAAGACTATTGATGGAGTATTTGCAAAGGTAGTATTGAACGTATGGTTTTCACATTTTTGTATTAAAATACATTTTTATCATAAGGGGGTTTTGTGAAGATTTTAATAATTTAATATTTGAATTCATGTGTCAATTGAAGTTAGACCACCATGGAAAACCTAGAAGAACTAGACGGCCGTTTTGTCCTAGTAATGCACCCAACAGTAGTGTGCATCCACGACTACGCATGAGGGACAGGGTGTGCACGGCCGAGGAGTCCCATACTAGGATGAAACGACTGTCCAATGCTTCTAGGTTTTCCATGGTGATCCAACTTCAATTGGCTCATGAATTTAACTATTACAATACATTTGTTTATCCCCACCTGTGTTCGCGTTCACGTTACTACTATTACCACTAATACTGTAGTGTATGCAATATATATCCTGACAGATATAAGTAGTATGTAGCAGTAATTAGAAGTGAAATGTCTGCCACAAGAAGATTGAATTAAATAGAACAAGAATGGAAACAGAGAACAATTGGAATAACAACAGAATTAAAAGAATCATGAAGTATATCAAGGATAAATGATGAAAGATATATAAATAATGTATTTAATGTATAATTTTCATATTTCATGAAGGCACTTTGTAATATTGCATAAGACAATAAATTAGTTTGATATACCTGAGTTCTTATACTACTACTAGTACTACTAGGAGTACTCTATACATGTACATGTTATCAACTAGTTCATTTTTCCAAGAGTGAAATTTGCGTGTATGTGTGTGTGTTTGTGTGGGTAAGTACGACTACTTTCTAAAACATTAAGTAGTAAAATAAACTGATCTCATTTAATAACTCAACAATGAAATCAATGTTATTTATTCTCTATCATGATTACTGTCATTTTCACAAAATACAAAACATAATTACGGCTTATAATGTTGTTGTTGTTTTTTCTTCTATTTATATATATATATATATATATATATATATTAACAGGTTTAAACCTGTTGTTGTTTATTATTGTAAAGAAAACAAACGAATATGTTTGTATAAAAAACATCAAGTTACTCTGCAAAAAGAAAAGAAAAGAAAAGAAACGAAAAGAAAAATCATGTTGTAATGAAAGTATAGAGAAAAAAAAGAAGAAAAAGAAAAAGAAAGATGATAGATAGATAGATAGTTTAGAAAGAAACATATCAAAATTTCAACTACAATTGTCCTCTATTTCTTTTATTACATAATTTATGATCAGTTCAGTAGTAATAAATGAGAACATTCTAATGTAAAAATTTATGTACAGTATGAGAGTATTGTTAAGTGTATCAGATACATATATATATCTATATATACCACAACAAATAAATATAGTCGTAAATTTAGTCAAGAATAAACAGTAAACAGTATGATTTTCTACAGAACCTTAGTCAATAATAATAATAATAAGTAGATAAAATATACCATACATTAAGTTGACCAAGAATTGAGTAGTAGTTGGTAGCAGCAGTAGTAGTAGTAATAGAGTTCAGTATATATATATATATATATATATATATATATATATATATATATATATATAAAGCTTTGAAATAAATGTGCACTTACAATAAAACACATAAGAACGTAAAGAAAAAAAAAGAATAAAGAGAAAGAGAGAGAGAGAAAAAAAGAGAAAAAAAACGAAACATTAACGAAATTTATGAATTGCAATGAAATTACTGATTTAATGGACAATCTCTAACTTGGATACAAATCATTCGAAAATTATTAAGATGTACTAAATTCTAGATATCATTTTTTAAGATAAGAGAGAGAGCGAGAGAGAAAAGAATAAGTTTGATAACCCTGTTACACATTATAATATACACTGAAATAAATTAATGTGATCATTTGAAATTGAGTAGTTATATGCTACATTATAATACAGTTATAACTAGAAGAAAAAAAATGTAACTATGGTTATTAATTCTGAGTGCTGCTAGAGGTATGAGGGCGGTTATCACTTCCCGGTTGCCCACATCATGGAAGGGTTGTTCTGGAGGTACCTGAAAAGGAAATTGGATTGAAGGTGGTCTTAGTGACCTGAGAGCATGACTGAAGTGCCCAAGGGACAACTGCTTGAGGTCGGTCACCCACGACTAGTTTGTGAATAGTTTTCGTGTCAGCTCCATAATCGTTGAGATCTTATCGTCGGAGACGGATATCTGTGGGTAAGGCGAGGTGTGTATTTTTTAGGTTCGACCTTTTCTAATCCCACCCGTTTTTGTGAGAAGGCAGCATCGCTGTTATTCTGGTTGTCTGAAGAGAACACCAATACTGCCGTCACACCTCTGTACGGCCAGCAGTACGACTTCGTTTTCGGACCTTCAGTTTGCTGCTTTTAGTCGTACCGCTCTTCAACCAACCTATCTGGCATGGTAGGACCTTGAGGAACGATTGTCCCAGCCAGTATAGCTCAATTGGTTCATCACAATAGGCAAGCCCGACCACCACGTCAAGGTAGTAACAACGGTCGGGGTTATTAATTCTGTAACAATTTTATTACTATTTCATGTAAAGTGTAAAATTGTTCTAAATGTATTCAGTGGATTTCAATATTATTTTGTTTAAACTAGTTTATTCATACTAATACTACTAATACAATTTAAGTCAACAACACAGTTCAACTCATTTATGCAGTGGAATTGAGAAATTAACATTATTGTACAGGTGAATTGAGCTGACAAGTGACAAACAGGACAAAACACACATCTTGGATTTACCTCTGCCTAAAATACATATATACTTACTAACAATATCGCGAAAATCCTCACAGGATGCATAATATGCCAATTCTAGGCCCAACCATCAAATGGGAACTTTTTTATATTCGAAGTATTTGTGTATTTATTTATTTGAACACATAAATATTGGTACAAGAGGGCACCAAATATATATGCGCCACACTTTTGTGTGAGGGCTGTGATACTGCCCGGGTGCCTAAACCGAAGCAGGTGGTTTTCACAGGGGGCCACACCCCAAGCCTCTGACCTAAAGGTCTAACCCATAAGGCAGTGGAGCATCATGAGAAGATGCAGTCCCATGGTAGTCAGTGACCAACGATTGGTTCATACGCCATTTGTTCCCGCAGGATACTAGAGCCCATGTGCACCACTGATTTAGGATCCGGTTAAGGCGCCGGACATTCGCTTTTCGTCCTCTTATTTTCGTAAACAACACCCCCGCTATGAGAAGACAGTAATTAGAACTTCCCTGTCAGAGGCTGTATACTCGTGGCCGTGTGGGAGCATTTCGAGAAAGAGGGCGAGCTTACCCCACTCTCGGCCATACCAAGGCATTTGGGGGATTATATTCGAAGAGAATATACTAAATGATAATATTCATTAAAATAATCAGATCAACTATAATATGTAAACAAGATATAATACATTGTGTTTACTTACCATGAAATGGTGTTGGTGATTTATTTATAAAATTAATAAGACCTTGTACATGATGTGACATGTTAGAATTAGTGGAATGAAGTAAAAATAATTGATTTCTTAATAAATCACTATTCAATAATAAAGTAGATGGATTATTTGTTGTTGATATTGATGTAATCGGTTGATGAACTTTGACAGATTCGATATTTCTACAATAATTAACTTGACCGTCAATATTATTATTATTATTCAATAGATTTATAGGAAAATCTTTTATTCCACTTTTTGTTACAGCTATAGATGTTGGAGTTATAGTTGTTGTGCTAGTATGAATTGATGAAGAATTTGATAAATTTACTGAATTAATCCGTTGTTCTTGTGATGCTGCTGCTGCTGCTGATGATGATGATGATGATGGTGGTGGTGGTTGTAATATGCTCGGTCCAAATGTTGAAAGTAAATCTATAGCTTTAGAACCAAGCGAACTCCAAAATAAAGTGTTTGCCAATTGCCTCTATATAAAAAACATGTATAAAGGAAATATTTGAGGAGATAAATTGAAAACCTGATATATATATAATGCACAAAATAACATGAAGCAGAAAGGTAACACTATTTATTTATCTACTTGCATATACCAAAGAATTGTGCTAAATGTCTACGTGTCAAACTGATAAAGCACTACACTAGGAATCGAAATTCATTGAACTTCAGTCCAATTAACTAATCTGTATAATTAATGTCTACATTGCCCTCAAATGCCCTGGTATGGCCGAGAGTGGGGAGAGTCCACTCTCCCTCTCAAAATGCTCTCACATGGCCACACGTATTTAGCCTCTGCCAGAGAAGTCTTACCTACCGCCTTCTCGTAGCGGGGGTGTTGTTTACGAAAATGAGAGGACGAAAAGCGAATGTCCGGCGATTAAACCGGATTCCAAACCAATGGTGTACATGGGCTCCAGTATTCTGGGGGAACAAATGGCGTATGAACCCATTATTCGTCACCGGCTTCCATGGGGTTGCATCTCCTCACGATGCTCCACTGCCTTGTGGGCCTTGTAGACCTTCAGGTTGAAGGCTCGGGGAGTGGCACCCTAATAAAACCATCTGCTTCGGTTTGGGCACCCGGGCAGTATCGCAGCTCTCACACATATCGAATGAGATTTGTGTGGCGCATATGTATTTGTACCAATATCTATGTGTTAAAAATAAAATAAAATGCCTACATTAGTTATTACTAAGAATAAAATTTATAAGTAGTTGTCAATGTGTTGAATGATTACATAAATCATCATCATCATGTAATCAACCTTTTTCGTAGAAACAATTAGTTGATAGAAACTCAGTTTGAGTTACGTAACACAGTTAAATTTCTCATTATTATTAGCATTATTCAATATTATATTTTGAGTACAATATAGAATTCTCAGCACAAAGTATTTCAACAAGTTTCTGTTTCTTATATGTTGATCGATCCTAATGGTAAATAGTTGAGTGATCGCCAGTTAGATGTTAACAGTTCAACAATCAACATTTGAATAATGTACATTGTTTTTAATGCATATTGCCTGCCAGCAACCACGATGTCTCTGATTGTACTATTTTGTAACTTGTACAATGAAAGGTTGTACATTTTTTAGAAACGAACATGAATAACTGATGCAATTAACTGACATAATGATCTGTTAGAACAAACATAAAAGAAAATCACTTGATGAAATATCCAAATAACCGGAACAGGTAGCCTAGATATTCAAGCAGATTGCCAAAAAAGGCGATAATATTTAGAGAATACAGTGAAATTAGTTGTATTTTTTTTTTGCTTTCTCTTCAGCTATATACAAGCTAATATATTTAATTCTTTCGAGATATTGACATCGGTTGCTATCGTATCGCAGATCCCAACTAGGGAGTTTAAACCTACTTGTTAGTGACTTCATGGACTTGTACCATGTTTTGGTCTGACCGCCACTACCTTTCTTCCAACCTACTCATACATCATAAAAGGATTACAGAATTATACAACAATTTATTTGTTAATAAATTATGTTATTAAGTGAAAATAATTACAAAAACTAGCTTGTATGCAGGTAGCTGAAGAGAAAGCAACAAAATAAAATGAATACATTGTATTTTGCTTCATTTATTAATTTATTTGAACACATAAATATTGGTACAAAAGGGCGACGAATACATGTGTGCCACATAAGTCACTTGATTTGTGTGTGGACTGCGATACTACCCGGGTGCCCAGACCGAACCATGTGGTTTTTTCTTAGAGGGCCACTCTCGGAGCCTTCGACCTAAAGGTCTAATCCATAAGACGGTGAAGCAACGTTAGGAGATGCGATCCCATGGTAGCTGGTGACGAATAATAGGTTCATACGCCATTTGTCCCACCAGTGACTCCGTAAACCCATGTACACCATTAGTTTGGAATCATGGTTTTCCAACTCCTCTACGTGAGTCCTCAATATTCACGAACCCAATTAAAGTGCCGGACATTCGCTTTTCATTCTCAATTTCGTAAACAACACCCCCGCCGGGAGAAGGTAGTGAGTAGGACTTCCCTGATAGTGGCTGTATACGCGTAGCCATGTGAGAGCATTTGGAGAGGGAGAGTGAACTCTCCCCACCCTTTGGCTGTATCCGGGGATTTGAGAGTAAATATTCCCATTTTCGTTTAGTTTAAATTTATAAAAGGTACAAATCACAAGTGATTTACCGTAAGAAGGTAAAATCTTTATTAATTTAAGAAGACCTCTGAATTTCGTAAACAGTAATGCCGCGAGAAGGCAATGATTAAGACTTCTCTGGTAGTGGCTGTATACGCGTAGCCATGTGAGAGCATTTGGAGAGGGAGAGTGAACTCTCCCCACCCTTTGGCTGTATCCGGGGATTTGAGAGTAAATATTCCCATTTTCGTTTAGTTTAAATTTATAAAAGGTACAAATCACAAGTGATTTACCGTAAGAAGGTAAAATCTTTATTAATTTAAGAAGACCTTTATTGTAGAGTTGAACTAATGAGAATAACTGTTTTCTAATTTAACGATTAATGATAAATAATTGCTTGCACAAAACACTTTAACACTAAGTACTTCTCCGGAATCGATTAAATGTATGACAGTCTCTAATAAAGATTCAATTTCAAGAAGACATCTCAAAAACAGCTTTACAACATGTTCAAAGATGTTCAGGGGTATTTAATTTAGCACATTGCCGTTTTTCAGTTTTAGCTTACTTTGAAGAGGTCATAATTAAAATGCTGGTGTTAACATATAAATGAGATTGTACCGAAGTACACGACGACTATGATGTAGTCGGACAGGGTCTAAAATATTGCTCAGAATAGCTGTTTTATCGATTCGATCAATTCAGCTGAGAGTTTAGCATTAGATCATCGATTTTGGAGGCACTTATTAACCTCAGTTCTCGAACCAACAAATGCAAAAGGTTCTTACATACTGAAGTTGTATAGTCTACCCAAGACTTAAAAAACTGATATCTCTCTACGACCGATCCCAGTAATGAATAGTCCAACGTATCATAACGCTGCTCGGTGGCTTACCCAAATGACTGAACCCATAATGGAAAAATGTCTGTATACAGTCTGAAAGACAGTTTCAACTTTATTAACAAAACTGACGGCATTAACTTGGACAGAAAGTATGAGGTTTCTCTTAATGTGGAGAGCTTATTAACTAAATCCCCACTGAAAAAAGACTACTGACACCATATCCGATCGTGATGACATGACTGGTTTTCCAAAGAAGAGACTGAAAGAGTAATTACTGTTATGCATAAAGAATGAGCACTTTTAATTCAACGAAAAGTACTACCGACAAACAGGTCTTGCAACAAGCAGCTAACTGAACCCTACATTCACTGATATTTTTCTGGAACTAGAAAACACCTAATTGAAGCATACGAGTAAACAAATTCATTCTATTTGAGATATATCAATAATACTTGCATCATGTATGATAAAAGAGATCATGTTGATCAATATTACCTGTTTCAATACACCTTATGCAGATCTAAAATTCACGTGAGAGGATGCAGTATGAAATTAGTAGAGTTTCTTAAATTTAACGACAACAAAAAACGAAGACGGCTCCATTTCACGTTCCATATAACGTAAGACTTCATGAACAATTTAATAGCTTCCATCCAATCATATATAAAAGAAGTCTTGTGAGAACTCTGTTCTTAAGGATAAACTATGTTTTGAAGATTTTATCGATAACGAATTACAAACTCTTCAAAGTTAATTAACCGAGACTGAGTATCCACAAAGTTCATAAATAAAAAATTTTAGGTCAATAAATCAGACGTAACGACAACCCACTGTCCCCAGAATAGGCGTCCACTAAGAGCAATTACTTCATTGCCTTTTTCTGCCACAGACTTAATAATCATGTATGGAACATAAAAGACTATTCAGAAGATATAACTTGGATAACAGGTCACCTCTAGGGACTTACAAATGTATCCATATACTTACTCGTACATGCACTATCATATGTATTGAAAGAACAGAAAGGATACTACCTAAAAGGATTTAAGAATACATCCCAAAGAATTTAATCTAGATCCTGACACTGCCTTTCGAATAATAAATCGATAGGATAATGGTACACTTTGAAGTTACTCAGAAGCAGTAGGTGTTCATCGTCTAAAACCAAGCTTATGTGTATCCAAAAAGAAATTGTGTTTCACATGCTCCTGCTATGGTGACCGATGTATTGCTGTACTTCGCCTCCTTTATTTCCCCTACTTTGTTTACTTGCCCTCATCTTTATTTGATCACATTTTTATTGTTCACTTATAATCTACAGTTATTATAGCTAGTCGTATTATTTGAACATTGTTCAGTAAAATATATTATAAACTATCAGCCTAGATACCTAAATATTTCCATCTTCTCACATCCTCTCCAAATATTATTATTAATTACCAGCGTTTTATTCATTTCAAGTAATATGATTGATTCACAACTATTTTTTTTGGTAATTTCTATCGCCATCACATTGTCTACCGTAATCAGTGGGGAGAGTAAGCTCTCCTTCTCCAAATTCCCTCACATGGTCTCGTTCATACAACCACTGACAGGGAAGTCATACTCACTGCCTTCTTGCAGCATTACTGTTGTTTACGAAATTCAGAGGACAAAAAGCGAACGTCCAGCGCTTTAACTGGACTGGTGGACACGGAGAGTCCACCTAGACAAGTTGGAAAACCATGATTCAGAACCAATGGTGCGCATGGGCCTCAGTATCCTGAGGGAACAAATGGCGTATGAACCAATCGTTGGTCACCGGCTACCATGGGAGTGCATCTCCTCACGATGGTCCACTGCCTTGTGGGTTAGACCTTTAGGTCAAAGGCTCGGAGTGTAGCCCCCTAAAAAAACCACCTGCTTCGGTTTGGGCACCCGGGCAGTATTCCAGCGTTCATATAGATCGAATGATTTATGTGGCTTATACCCTTGTACCAATGTTTCTACGTTTAAATAAATAATAATAATACTACCGTAATCATAACAATCTGCACATTTTTCCTATATCCGATCACATCATGATCTCTCTCTCTCTCTCACACATTTAACCCGTTCATCTATCTATTAAATCTGCATCAATATGGGAAGTATTTATAATTATCTTTTTTCAATAGTGAACTAAATCAATTGTTTCTTTTGTTTTACATGTTTCACATAAAATTACAATTGCAAAACATTGTTTATATATTTGTACAGATCAATGAGTACATGTAAATGCGTGAATGAGACATGAAGTTATTCTAACTTGATAAAACCTTCAATACAAATATTCATCATTGAAATCACATTACTAGTGTTACTTCTGAATTTGTTAAGCATTTTGAATATAATGAGAAAATAACAACAACAAAATAAATGTATAATCAAAAGGGGTTTTGTGGAGATTTTAATAATTTCAATAGTTGAAATCATGAGTCAATTGAAGCTAGACCACCATGGAAAACCTGGAAGTTGGACATTAACACTGTTGGATGCCGGCCAGATCAGTTGGCTAATGCTTAAGTGCTCGTGTGCAAGACTGATAGGTCTTGGGTTCGAATCTCGCGGGGGGGTGGCGGGATCGTGAATGCGCACTGCTGGGGAGTCCCATACAAGGACGAAACGGCCGTCCAGTGCTTCCAGATTTTCCATGGTGGTCTAGCTTCAATTGACTCATGATTTCAACTATTGAAATTATAAATGTATAACATAATGTAAATACTTATTTCATTTCAGAAGGTATACGTTCTATACAATTTGATTTTGATTATTATCTTGAAGAAGTTTAAACAAATTTATAGGACGAAATGCTGGGATTATTTAAGATTCAGTCGCTGAAATTATTTCAAATATAATTATACGTAAATAAGTGTATATATAATTTGACAGTTATTTAACTAACATGAAATCTAAGAAATTAAAGGTGTGTGAGGGCTGGAATACTGCACAGATGCGCAAACCGAAGCAGTAAGTCTTAAAAAAACTTAACCTTAACTGTCGTATGTAGTGTGATCAACAATTAAAATGCATTAGATAATATGAGACAACTAACATTAAACTTCATATAATATCTCCTAGGAACTGTTTTCCATAATAGGTCACCTCATAGTTTCATTCACATAATCCTCTAACATATAGAGAAATGTCTCATACTACCTAAACTCAATCAGTCTATTGAATGTAGTGATAATAATACTGTTTCTAGTGAAGAAATATTACTGAATATAAACGATCAAAATGAAATAAATATATGAATAAAACACAAGACAATTTTCCTTTTAGATTTTTCTGCAAACCTAAATGTCTTAGTACAGCCGAAGGCTGGGAGAGCCAGCTCTCCCTCTTCAAATGCTCTCATATGGCCACGTGTATACAGCCACTATCAGGGAAGTCCTACTCACTACATTCTCCCGGTGGGGGTGTTGTTTACGAAATTGAGAATGAAAAGCGAATGTCCGGCACTTTAATTGGGTTCGTGAATATTGAGGACTCACGTAGAGGAGTTGGAAAACCATGATTCCAAACCAATCGTGTACATGGGTTTAAGGATTCACTGACGGAACAAATGGCGTATGAACTTATTATTCATCACCGGCTACCATGGGATTGCATCTCCTAACGTTGCTTCACCGTCTTATGGATTAGACATTTAGGTCGAAGGCTCGGAGAGTGGCTCCCTAAGAAAAAACCACATGGTTCGGTCTGGGCACCCGGGTAGTATCGCAGTCCACACACAAATCAAGTAACTTGTGTGACGTGTATCTTTTCAATGCCTCCTCGTACCAATGTCTATGTATTTACATAAACAAATGTTTTTGTATTTGCATTGTTTAGCCAATATATCTCTGGAATTTTTTTCACTATAAACCAAACTGTTCAACATATTCAACAAGTATACTATACACCTACTAACAAGAATTGTCTACAAACTTTCATGTGATTCGTTAACTACTAAATCTAAATACAGTTGGGTGATACTGCAATCATCTTAAGTTATGTAGAAGAATTTCTATATTCATCATATTAACATTAAGATAAGTTTTCACAGATTGAACTCATGAGTCAGTTGAAGTTAGACCACCATTGAAAACCTGGAAGCACTGGACGACCGTTTCGTCCTAGTATGGGACTCCTCCACAGTGCGCATCCACGACCCCGCACCACCCGGGGCTCAAACTCAGGACCTACTGGCTTCGCGCGCGAGCACTTAATCATTAGACCACTGAGCCGGCATCCAAGATAAGTAGCATAGGAACATAAACCAGAATATAAGTAGTATAACCTTTTCATATTAGGAAATAAAATATAAATTAATAAATAAATAGAATTAAATCAATACAATTAACATACCAATGAATGAGCAGCAGATTGATTAGTTAAATGTGATGGACTAATTAATTCAGTTGGTGATGATATTGTTCCAGTATTAGAATCAATTAAAAATTTTGGAAATTGTTTTAATAAATTAATTTGTGAATCATAAAAATTCAATGAATTAATAAGTTCCGAATTTGTGCAATGATTTTTTGTAGTAAAAGGTAAATGTATAGAAGGAATTGATTGTGTTGTTTGATTAAATGATTTATTAATTTGATTTGAATGATCTAATGAATTTTGTACAATATCAATTGGATTATGAAATTGTGAAGAATTAAGAGGTGAAGTAACAATAGGACAATTTGTATAATTTGATGTAGTAGAATTTAGTGAATTAGATGAAACAGTTGAAGCAGTAACTGCAGTTCGTGAATATTGCAATAATAATGCAGCTATAGCCGCTTGATTAATAGGTAATAAATTAGATTGAAAAATTGAAGCTGAAGGTTGACAAAAATGAGAATTTATATGATTAATAGAATTAAGACCAAGAAATGAACACAATGCAGATGGTGTAGTAGAATTTGACAAAAAACGATCAGTAACAGTGTTATTACTAATCGTAGATTCAGATTGTATACCAATATGATCTGTGTTATCTGAACTAGAATGAGTAGTTTTATTAAAAGGAAGTTTTATAGTTTCGTCTGAATAAATCTGACAATTAGATGATGATAAACTAAGTGGAGTAGTTAAAAATCTTGAATTAGTTGATGAATCTAAATTAACAGTACTAGTAGGTGGTGAATATGAAACTCCTGTAGATGATGATTCGTTTGTACTACGAAGAGATTGTGTACTATCTAAAATTGATCTTGATTGTTCCGAATCTGATAATCCGTTAATATTTCTATTTGAATTGTTAAAAATCCAAGATTTGGCCGATTCTTCATTTAAAAATATTCGTCGATCATATTCCGATGATAATTGGGAAATAGGCTAACCAAAGTATATAAAAAAAAACACAGAAATACATATACATTGAATAAACAAATGATCATTGGTAAATTGTAATGAAATGTAATCACTAGGTAAAAGTTCTAGAGGGTGTTTGTTATTTTGACCATTGAAAAGTCATACATACATACACACACACACATACATACATACATAGATACATACAGTGAAAGGGGAGACCTGAATTGTCAAAATATACTTACAGAATCCACTGGAAAATTTGTAGTTATATTAATACTATTTGAATTCATTGGACAACAACAATCATTTTGTCGATTATTTACTTCATCACTAAGTGATTTCGTTTCATTAGATAATAAATAATTAGCAACATGTAAACAATCTGTTATTGAATCATTGGAATGATTTAGTTTTGATTTATTAAGGTATAAATTATTATTATTATTATTTAATGAATCTTCTACATTAGAATGTAGATGATTATTAAATAGACTATTATTAGATGGAATAAAAGATGATGTATTTTTTATATTTATGGTTGATTGTTCTTGTTGATTTATATTTTGTAATGAACTACTTAATGTATTAGTACTTGTCCATGAACGCATAGGTACTTGAGTAGGTAGTCCAGCAGCATTATACCATGGACTTTCAACACGACTTGATGATTTACAAGAGATAACATTTGTAAAACACTTAGATATGTTAGATACACTAAATAGATTATTTTGATTATTTGTATGATGTTGATTTGATAAACAATATTCACTTGGACAAGAATCAATATTAGTCTTTTCAGATGATATAAGTGAACGAATACAATTTAAGTCACAATTACTAGCTAATGAAACAGTTCTGTCATTATCTACTCCGAGGGATAAATTGTCCATTTGAATAACTGGTCTTGCAGATATTTTCGAGTGTTGCTTATTATTATTATTATTATCTATATTCTTAGTTCGAGTAATATTCACTTTACGAGTTATACCACATGATAATTTTGCTGGTAAAGGACTCATAGATGATATACAAGTATCACCAGACATTGGTGAACCGCTACGTTTACACGATGCCGAAGTTTGACGATTTGTATTTCCTGATAAGGTAACTTTTTTACTTGATACAGTCAAATCAGTGGCTGTTGATCTTGGAATAGTTTGATAAGATTTAAAACGTAGATTAGGTAATATAATTCCATTTTTACGAACATAATCACATAGTGATGATTTCGCTAAGTTATACTTTTGTGCAGCACGTCTCATTGATATTTGAGAACCTAACACATCATTTACGGCTAACTCTAATAATTCTCGTCGTTCTGCAGGTTTATGACGTGGGCGTCGGACAGAAGTAACAGTTGTAACACTTGTAACAGCTGTTGAACAAACATTTGTAGGAATACAATGTAATTGACTGTTAATCGACGTTGATGAACTGAATGATAGTCCGAAGGTAATAGGTGATAATGAATTTTTATTATCTATTTCTGATTTTTGTTCTTTTACACACTCCTTACTTAATTGACGTTCAAGTATAGGAGGAGATGATGATGATGGTGATGTAATAGATAATTCTTGAGTGGATATTATTTGGGATCTGGAATCATGCTCAAAAAAATGAGGTGATGGATAATCACATTTCCCTTGTTCTTCAGATGTTGATAGAAATAAACTATCATTAATACTAAAATCGTTAGTAAGATTTTGATTGACTGAATTAATTGGATTATCACAGTTTGTATCGGAAGTCTTTGGTTGAGTCATTAGATTATATATTGTAATTGAATGAAATTAACCAAAATTAAAATGGATAAACACTTTTGTATAACATAATACCGGTATATACACATGAGAATCTTTTCAATTGTTTAATCTCCCTGTTCAATTATGAATATATTTTATCCTTAAAATATCCTTGACTTAGCAACAATGGAATATAATTCAAATTATAGAAGTCATGGTAATGATACAATATATCTCATCAATTCGATTATATTATCTAATTAAAATAGTATATATGATGCCCAATTGTCAATAATATGATCCATAAGCATGAAATATAAATGTCATTCAACAAACTATAAGATATGAGCAAGCTTAGTTGTGGTGTGTCTATCCAAACATATTATTATTGAATATTATCATTGAAGCATTATTGAGCAATCATTATTTTGCTTGGGTGTATAATTGTGTACACATTTATATGAATGCACGCATTCAGATACACAATAACATGAGTGCTCATACGCACACACACACACACACACACAATACACAATGTATTGTGTTACTTGTCCATTACAAAAAAAAATCAGCGGCCACCCTAACGTTTAATAGTGCTTATTATAACAAATGAACATCAAAATGCACACAAGCACAACATGAAATAGTTAATCACGTTCATCATTTTAATATTATATATATATATTTTTTTTTCTGTTTCTAGAAATGAGAACAATAAGATGTGCGCAAAGAACCAATAAATAGATCGAAGTAAGAAAACAAAAAAGCGAATGATCCGAAATTTTATGAAAACTAAACAATTCAATATGAATTCTCCCGTATAATCATTTTAAAATATGTTAATTTCAATCGTTGAGATTATGAATCAATTGAAGATAGATCATCATGGAATATCTGGAAGCATTGGATGGCTGTTTCGTCCTATTGTAAAACTATTCAGCAGTGCACATTCATGATCTCGCCTCGCGAAAATCGAACCCATGGACTAATCAGTCTCGCACGCCAGCATCCAACGGTGTTAATGTCTAACTTCAACTAATCTACGAAATTGAGCAACACATCCACCATTGTCTTCAACGAGTGACTATCTCACAACAGAACTCCACTGGTCACTGCTGAATGTCGTGGTTTTGAGGCAGATTTGATATAGTTACACGGTGTATCTCTTTCCAACTCATTGGTCTAGAGGTTAAGCGTTTGCGCTCGAGACCGAAGGTTCTAGGTTCGAAACTCGCGAGGCGGGGTCATGGATGCGCATTGCTGGGAAGTCCCACAATAGGACGAAATGACCATCCAGATTTTCCATAGTGATCTAGCTTCACTTGATTCATTATCTCAACTATTGAAATTACTGTAATATCCACAAAAACCCCTTCTGATATTAAAATATGTTATTTATTGAAATAGATGTTAACTTATATAGACAGATAGATCAGTATACAAACGAGGCTATCAGAAGTCATGAACTTATAACAAATTATAATAGAATGTTTAATAAATTAGAAAAAAATATTCTAACAACCATTCGATATGAATCAAACACATGACTTTTATAAAAAGAACACATTGTCAGAAAGCAACATTACTAACAGTAATATTGACTTGTATTGAATAAACAGACTATTCATCTTTGTTTATAATGCTTGTGAATTAAGCCTATATCGAGGCAATACACATAGTATGCACATATGCCAATATGAGACTGATCAATTGTGGTCCTAAATAACAATGAGAAGCTTTATGTAAACAATATCAAGTAGATTTAAACTTTACCCCATTGCACAAGCAAGTGGCTACCAAGACTCAGTAGCTAAGTGAACAACGTGATGGCGTTTGAAGCGAACTGTACTGGGTTTGAGTCCCAGAGTGAATATCAATTCTGAGATGCAGGTACAACCAGCTGACTAGTCCCAAACAGGACGAAACATGCGTCATGAATTCCACTGCTAGCCCACATCCATCTTTGCGTATAATGCTTGTGAATTAAGGCTATATCGAGGCAATACGCACAGTATGCACATATGCCAATAAGAGACTGATCAATTGCAGTCCTTAACAACAATAGGAAGATTCGAGGAAACAATACCAACTGAATTCAGACTTAAGATACTTCTAAGAATGAATCATTGTTAGCACGACAATAACGAAAGAATAGTAAAAATATAGTGTATAAATTAATTCACAATAATTATATTAAATGTATAGAATTAAGGTTATGATCGCTACAGTGGTTGATCTTGAGAAAGTGGAATAAAAGGAATATAGATGCTGATTTAGGTACTCGTTTTATTTATTTAGAAACACATAAACATAGGTACAAGGGGGCAGCAAACAGATATATGTCATAAATCATACGATTTGTGTGAGGGCTGAGATACTGCCCAGGTGCCCAAACCGAAGCAGATGGTTTACTTGAGGGGCCTTTCACTTAAAGGTCTAATCCACAAGGTAATGGAGTGACGTTAGGAGGTTCCGTCCCATGATAGTAAGTGAACAACAGGTTGATACACCATTTGTTCCCTTACGATACTAGAGCCCATGTACACCATTGATTTGGAATCAGAATTTTCCAACTTTTCTAAGTGGATCCTCCATATCTATCAGCCCGGTTAAAGCGCTGGACATTCACTTTTTGCCCTCTGAATTCCGTAACGAACACCCCCGCCGAGAGAAGGCAGTGAATAGGACTTCCCTTTCAGTGGCTGTATGTACGTGTCCATGTGAGAGCATTTCAAGAGGGAGAGCTGACTCACCCCACTCTCGGCCGTACCAGGGCATTTAATCAGAATCAGAATAAAGCTGCTGGTTCCAGTACTTGAACTTTTGACATATTCTTGTTAAATACAAAACTAAGTAAGATTAGTTAGTCCATCACTAGACCATTAAATACAATTTTGTAGATGTTTTATGACAAGCACTTATTAAGATGAAGAGGTATTGAATAATTTACAAGCATTATTAGATCGAACAAACTCATAAATACTCGCTTATTTTCACTACAAACTGCTTGGTAAAATTTTATGTGGAAACTAAATTGTTACGTTGTCGATTTGATTACAGTAGAATACGATATACACCTAACGGTACTCGAACGTATAGAACTTTACAGTCGCAAATCAGAAGACGGAAGAAACAGGGGAAGTGATTATTGGATAAGAATCAGAAATGTACAGAAAAACGTGAGTATTTAAAGTTATTAGTATTGGCTATAACATCATTATTCAGCCAATCTGTAGAGAGAAAAGTTATGCAATTATACAATCGTAGCATGACACGTTGATATTCTAGAAGGACCGATCATATTCTGACTGAATGAAATCTCTTCAGCTCCTTTAGAGAATCAGGAGGCTTCGCGGTGCTTTTCGAAGCCGTCACAACACCTTCCAGGAACAATATTTGCTGCTGAGGTGTACGAGTAAATTGCCAAGTGGTTTGCGACAGCGTTTTGTCTTTCTTAGTGTCCTCCGACTCCAAACTTTCATCCTATCGTTCTCCATTATGTCTTTAAAAGTTCCTGTCATTGGAGTACCTGTGATTATCTCCAGTGGAAGACTCCCTTGCTTATCTACCGTATTAATTGTCCTTTTCCCTCTATGGATTTGACTGGTGTGTCCGACTGACGTTCCGAACGTCTCACGCACATTTTACAAAACACTCCCCATTCTCTTTTTAATAACTTTAGGTTCCCATCAATTTTTTCCAGGGTGTAACTTGACAACCACTTTATCACTCACATTAAGACTCCGGATGCCTGCTTTTGTATGCACCAATGCACTGTCCTAGATGGTTACATAGAGTTGAACATGGTTCGAATACTTCTCCCAGACATAACTTCGAAAGGAGGCCCTCCACATTTGAGCCACTAAGACTGGTCTCGAACCATGCCACTCGACATTTCTACCTACTGATCGTTGTGGTTAAAAGTCCGCAACTAATACCACACCTTAAAGTCTATGATTTTATAAAATGACCTCACAAGTGATAAATGTAGCAAATACCAACCAACCTTTTTGAATACAAACTGAGATATCAAACCATCAAGGTTGATAAGACGTTCAAGGTAAGTGGATTGGTCAACGCATTTCAACATTTTACTCTATAACACTAGTTAAGACGTTGATGAAGACCAGTTCGCGCCGAGAAGTGAAGAAAGGCACCCTAAGCAGCCTATCAGGGTTAGTGATACTCCCGAAATGGCTCATAGTTTTGACGGATTGTCTAACCATCAGTCCATTACTTTACAGTGAACTGAAAGACTTAATATTGAGTCCTTGGTGCATACGTATTACAAGATCTTGAAAGTATGAGTGGAGTTAAGGACATGAATTGGTCACCGGTAATATAGGAATATATCTAACTGCTTCACTCTATAATAGATAAGACCATTAGCATGAAATCTTGTTAGTCGGTCATACGTAAAGTAGAACCCGGTGTATATGTTGGTAATTTCGAGACCCAGAATCTAAAGGAATGCAAACAATAAGTGTGTCTCCATGGCCAAAACAAATGCCGAGTTGGGAAACGTCTCCGACCGGAGCCTACCAACATGGCTCAGTTCGACAGTCAGTGACTCCATAGGCTGAAGCCAGGTTCTGATTTGGCCGCCGCTAGCTATATTAAAACCTATTCCTACGTCAGTCCACATGGCCAGTTGATGTAGGCGATGGTTCGCCATCGAAACCAACGTCAATCGTTCCGAAGCAGTTGATTGAGCTCTAACCACGTTCGAACAATTATAGAACTGATCCTTTAGAACCAACTGATATACAAGAATCGGTTACATCCGACATTACATGAAAATACCGAATCGAGTAACATTTAAGACTAGCTGGAACTCTAGCAGAATGTTGAGGTGAGCATCATTTGCACTCAAAATATGCTACGAGAATGGAGAGCAAATACGCTTGGCGTTTCAAGAAACGCCTCGCTTATTAACAGTAAGTTCCAGCTGACATCTTAGAACCTCTGCATACTAGTTATTTATATTCCTGTGGATTTTAAGGACGATTTCTCTACCGTCTCAATGTGGAAAATTTCGTAAAAACTTTAGGACTTGAATACATTAATTACGAGGAAAAAGTAGTAACTTCTCTGATCCACAGCTAGCAAAATGATGTGCCCATGAAGTAACCTGCGATATTGATGGCACATTAATTAGCGATCAGTAAAGATGTCTAGAGTTTTGAATGAAAGCAGCTCTACCTCACGCTCATGAGAATTTGACTACCTTAGCTAAGGATATTTGAAGACACTGTATGTTTAGTCGTTCTTGACCATTTTCGGAGGAAACATCCTACAAGTAGTGCTGAGGTCTGGGAACGTGGGTTTGAGCGTGATGGATATCATGAGTCAATAAGCATTTCCATCTTGAAACACAGGCTTTAGAGAATTTATCATTGATTTCTGATTTCGTTACATAGGTTTCAATACCATATACTTCCCCACACTAGCAAACATTAGTTTTATTCTGGTTTTATAATAAACGGAATAGTCTATTTCCTAACTTCGTGAGATAATTACTCTACGTGT